GGGGGGGGGAGGGGGGGGGGGTGTTTATTAATACGGTACCAACATTAGGGTTTAGGGTTTAGGGTCTTATTCCCCTATATATACCTTATGTAGTCCCTATGCCTAAGTAGACCCTAACGAAGCCCCAAAGAACCCTCAGGTCACGTACACGGGTCCCTTCTTTTGTTCCTTGACAATATATAGCAAGTGCCTAAACATGCACCAGGTATTGCGCATGGACCTTAGGGTTTAGGGTTTAGGGTTTAGGGTTGAGGGTTGAGGGTTGAGGGTGCTCAATTCAGGGTCCGACAGGCGCGACGAAGGCCGCCCGGAAGGGTCTAGGAAATGCTTCCCCAGCGCAATGAACCCTAAAAGGATTTATGGCCCATATGGGCGTTTACGACAATAAGGGACTCCTTAATGTAGACCCCAACTAGTAGGATTCCCTTTAGAATAAGGACCCCAACAAGGTGCCCCCTAGTTCCGGAAACCCCCATATACCTAAATAGGGGTTATAGTAGGATAGGGGAAATGACCCCAATTTTTTGGGTTCAGTTAGTCCCTCAGGTCGGGTCTACGGCAGACACCCCCAAAAGAACAATACATCTTAGCCGAGTACTACATTAGCGAACCTCTCTCTTATCATCCTGGGACCTATAGAGCAACAAAAATCCTTGAATCTTGCTCTCCCAACCACCAGGGGATCCCGGCAGACGCAAAGCCGCCGCGTGTCCGGGTGCGAGGCGTCGCAGGACAAGGGGTATTGGCCTGGAACGTTGGAGAATTTCCAAGTAACCTGGGGAAACATGGTTCGCAAAACCCTAAACCCTAAACCCTAAAACCCTAAACCCCTAAACCGTAGCTTAGCGAGAGAAGAGTGCCCTTTGTCTGGGTTAGCAGAAAACTCCTCCTCCATAAACCTATAAAGAGAGGTTAAAAGGATGCCAACGGGACATCCCAAATGGCCTTCTGAGTTTATAGGGCTTAGGTTTTAGGGCCCGGAGCCTGGAGCCCTAAAACCTAAACCCGGCAGAGTTTGGGTGGGGGGGGGGCGGGCGGATTCAGGGTAAGGCTTGAGGGAGGCAGCTCTTTGGGATTTACGTGTAGGGCCCAGTGAGTTCGGACAGAGGGATTCAGGGTTGAGGACTTAAACCCTAAGCCCTAAGCCCTACGCCCTAAACCCTAACCCTAGGAAATTATAGGGTCTTGGGAGTACGGGCCTGGGGTTGAGGGAAGCCCGTTCCCGTGAACAGTTCATGGCATCGAAGGACTTAAAGCGATCTTTGGGGGTGCTCGGTTCGGGTGTTTAGGCTTCAGGGCTTATGGGGATTCAGGTTCATTGTTGTGTTTCATTGCTTCCGGATTGCAGTCGGTATTGTTTTTTTAGCACGTCGCCACCCAAAACCATGCAAACCTCAAACCCTAAATCATACACCTGAACCCTAATGATGACCTTCGGCGGTTCCTGGGGATTTCGGAAGCCTTAAGCCTTAACCCTAAACTCATGCCACTGCAATCTATGTAGCACAGAGCAACGGTGCTACAATCATCAGGGCCTCATCTTCGGTGGTGACTAGTTCTAAACAGACAGCCAAAGCCTCAAAAAGACAACATCCGGACAATTGAACACGTCGGAAGATGAATCTCAGACAGGGCATGCCGACCGGACCCCAGAACAGAGCCGCCCACGCATGCCGAGACGACAATAAGATGCGTGCGTCTAGCTACTAAGCTACTACGAATGTTTCTTGCTTGGATGCAGATCCGCTGATGCAGAGAGCCGCAGGCGCCACCTTTTTCAGCCCTTCTAGGAGCAGTGGCACGCAGATGGCAGATTTGTATCACCTCGAGAACAGAAAATCATCAAATGGACTCAGTACTCGTTGTTCAGTTGTACGCGCATTTCGAACGCCAAATCTACTAGCATGTCGGGCGACGCCTTGGAGATGTTTTCCATCTCGTTTCTTGTCATTGGTTTGGCAGGCTTCGCAAGCTCCTTCACGCAGCGCAGGTACTGCCTCTTAAGATCGTACTTGTGGGCTTGCAGGAGTCGTTCGGTTGTGACGTGGCCCTGAAGAAGAAAATCTTCACATGCCAGCTTGACGAAGTGAACCTCGTAGTAGTGACTGAGGATAAGCAGAGCATCCACATTATGCAGTGTGATCTCGTCGGTGCGTAAGTCTCCAGGCATTAGTAAGTTGTAGAAAACCTGAAAGTCATCGCGCGTGGCCACACTCACAGCAACGCGCTTCTGTCGAGCTTCCAGCATTTGGGACGCAAACATCCGCTCAAAGACAGGCGAGCACATCCGCAGCACTGCCGAGCAAGCAGGCAGCGACCCTTCGTCAAATGTCAATACGATGTCGTCAACATTCTTGGAGCTAATGGCATCCAACGTGGACCGACGGTACTTGTCCCCATCACAACGAGCACAGGATGGAAGACCAAACTTGCGCTTCCCACCAGACATGGCGGGTCGTGTGATACTTTCGACGATGCTTCGGCCGATGCCTTGAACCATGCGAAGACAGGCATGGATATCAACGCAGAACAACTAGCACATGTCGATTGGAGGTGGCAGGGCGGGTTTAGAGTTTCTAGGATTTCTACGGGCTGCACGGCGCGGCATAGAGAGTTGAGGATGGAACTTAAGCCTAAACACCCAACGCTTGGCCTAGCTTGGGGTTTATGGGGTTTAGTTCAGGATTGTGGGCCTTGTGGTTTGAAACCCTAAACCCTAAACCCTAAACCCTAAACCCTTGACCCTAAACCCTAAACCCTAAACCGATCATCTGAAGTGAGGCCCTGGCGCAGGTTGGTGTTGTGCAGACACCGGCCGGAGCGCGTGGTGAACACTTCCTGTGCATGTTTAGGGCTTAGGAGATAAGGTTTAGGGTTTAGGGTTCAGGGGTCAGGGTTCAGGGTTTAGGGTTTAGGGTTTAGGATTTAGGGTTTAGGGTTAGAGCGAAGGGCATCGGGTTCAGGGTATATTCTTGGGTCTTATTTAAGGGGGCCCCTATTTGGCATCTTTAGGGCCCAACTATGAACCCGAAACCCTGAACCCTCACCTATGATGAACCCTAAACCCCAAACCCCAAAGCCTAAGTTATAAACCCTAAGCCTTACACCCTGACTCATAATCAACCCCCAAGCAACGCCTTTCGTGTCCCCTTTTTTTGCAGCCTTGGCTCCGTGGCCGGAGTCGTTTTTGACGTTTAAGTTCCGTCTGTTCGGCTCCGAAGGGCCAAAAAGCTGTACTCATAGGTTTAGGGTTAAGGGTTTAGGGTTAAGGGTGTAGGGTTTAGGGTTTACGGTGTAGGGTGTAGGGTTTAGGGTTTAGGGTCTCGCAGGCTCAGCTAGGATTTGCTTCAGGAAACCCTCAATACCATGACTCATACAAGCCATGCTCGACTGTAACGCGTTAATCATTTCTTGTAGCTTACCCAAAGGCTCCTATGTATTACCTTTTTGGGGTAGTATACTAGAATCCCCTAACACTAACCCCCCCCCCCCCCCAAAAGGGACATTGGAGCCTTCAGGTAAAACCCTAAACCCTAAACCCTAAACCCGTTGCGGCGTGTGGCGCCACAGCCCCAGGCAATGATTGTGCAACCGATGCCTCCTGGCATCCGACTGGACCAATGTGAAGCTGGCCTCACGTACCCCTGAACCCTAAACCCCAAAACCCTAAATCCCCAAAACCCCAAACCCAAAACCCTAAACCCAAAACCCTACAACCCTAAACCCTAAACCCAAGGTGGTGATTCGAAGCTGCGGCACCGATGCCCAAAGCTCGCAGCTACGGACATTCTGTGTTTTGCATCCGGTAGCTGACCCCATGGCTTTGAAGGAGCATAAGACCCCTAGAAGAACGATAATCCCTAAAGCCCCCCCCAAAACCCAACCCTGAACCCTCCTAAGACCCTGGGGGGGGGGGGGGGGGGGGGCACCACCGAGGGGGGGAGGGGTCTCCGAAACTTTAAACCCCGAGACTCTTGCAGACGTCGCCTGAGCCGGATGATCGGCGCCCTCAGCGGCTTCACAGATCCTTCGTTTGAGAGGGTTTTGGGGGTAAAAACCCTAGGACCCTAAACCCTAAACCCTAAACCCTAAACCCTAAATCCCAAAAAGGTGCAGGGAGCTGAGGGGTTGATCTACATGGGGGTGTAGGTATCTTGTTCGGGGTCGAGTATAAGGGAATCCTACTATTTCGGCGATTTCGGCTCTATAAATATTGGGTCTATATCGGGGGGGGGGGGGGAGGTTCCCCTATAATCGTGAAGCCCCAAATAAGACTCCCTGTAGTACGAGGATGATGGGCGCGTCCTGGTGGATTCCTTATCGACAAGAAACTACATGGAGAGTCCCCTTACTAAACTAAGTATAGTTCAGGGACTGAGAATAAGATTAAGATCCTTATACCTCAATGTAGGGTCCTTATGACTCTACTTATAACTAGGTCGCCCAACCGCCTAAAAAAAGGCCATCGTTGTATTTCAGGGATTTTAGAAGGGATCCGGAGCCCAAAGAGAAGAGGACAAAGGAGTGCTACTGACTACTGGGTGTCCTTTGAGAGGCTCCTGAGCCCCTAAACCCTAAACCCTAAAAACCCTAAAAACCCTAAACCCTAAACCCTAAATAAACCGAACCCTGAACCTCAAACTTTCAGGAGGTACTGGGGCTTTACGGGGTTTAGGAACTCTTTGAAGTAGGGCTTGGCAGGCTTCACGCCTTAGGGCCATAGGGCTATGATGAAGTCGAGGGTTTGGGGTTTAGGGTTTAGGGTTTAGGGTTTGCAGCATGGCCCGAACCCTATACCCTAAACCCGACTTTGCAGGGGTGTGTTTTTATGGGTTTTGCACCTTTTTTGGGTTGAGGTGGCAAGCCCACCCCTTCATGCAACTGCATACGGAACCCCTGAGCCCCAAGCCCTAAAAGGTAAACCTTCAACAATCTACAATCTCCAAACTAGAGTGTCCTTGAGCCCCAAACCAAAAAAGTCCTATAAACCACCTATATAAGCATTAGGCAAATCCCTGTGGGCTGTGGGCTTTTTGGGGTCAAAGGTTTAAAGCCTTTTTACCTAGGAAACCCTCGACCTGGACAACCCGTGCCACAAAACCCTGCACCCATCCCAATCTCTAACCGAGCATGTTAGGGACCCTCCTAAGAGTTGCTTATGGTTCAGAGCCTGAAAGTCCTGAACCTTGAAGCGCCCACAGCCCCCCACTGTCCCTAAACCCTAAACCCTAAACCCTAAACCCTAAACCCTAAACCCTAAACCCCTCACTCCTGCATCCAAGGATGGCTGACAGGGCATCGCAGTTGTTGATGAAGGGCAGATCCTGAGGTGTTAGGATTTTTCACTGTTTTCCTCCATTACTGGGTCATTCGTAGAATCATACAAATAATAATAACGGTAAGTATTATTTCTACTATTTTGTTTCTCTTTGGGGGGTGGGGGGGGGGGGGGGTGGGGGGGGGGGGGGGGGGTGGGGGGGGGGGGGGGGGGGGGGGGGGTGGGAGGGGTTCGGGTTTAGGGTTTAGGGTTTGGGGGTTTGGGGTTTGGGGTTTATGGTTGAGGGCCCCTTTGTAGTCCCTAGCTATCATTCTGAATAAACCATGAACCCTCAACCACATGTAATCCCAGGCCATCATTCTGGGCTTCCGAAATCCTAAACCCCTAAACCCTGCCACAGGGTTTAGGGTTTAGGGTGTAGGGTTTAGGGTTTAGGGTTTAGGGTTTAGGGTTTAGGGCCCTAAATCCCGCTGCCCTTCAAGACTGAAACAGTGCCGAAGTCTGCCCCTGCAGCCTGAGAGCACAGCCTAAGTCCAACACCCTGTCAACAAGGGTTTAGGGTTTAGGGTTTAGGGTTTAGGGGTTGGGGTTTAGGGTTTAGGGTTTAGGGGTTGGGGTTTAGGGTTTAGGGCTGAGGGTTTAGGATTTCTTGCCCAGGGCAACTCCCTATCAAGGGGTTTGTGGTAGTTAGGGTTTAGGGGTTGTTAGGGTTTCGGGGTTCTTCGGGTTTAGGGCTTTAGGGTTGTGTGGCTTCTAGGGGCCCATTTAGTGTTTAGGACCTGAACATCTGAAGCTTAGGACCAAACACACAAATCCCAATTACTGCCCCAATTCATCGCAAAGGCGCCCCAGCACCTAAAACGCGAAGGCCAAGAACTCAATCCTCGCGCCCTGAAATTCAACGCCCTGAACCCTAAACTCCAAAGCCCTAAAAACGAAGCCCTAAAGCCTAAAGCCTAAACCCTAAGCCCTGAACCCTAAACCCTAAGGCTTAAGCCCTAAGCCCTACACCCTAAACCCTAAGCCCTAAACCCTAAACCCTAAACCCCACACCCTAAACCCTAAACCCTAAACCCTAAACCCTAAACCCCACACCCTAAACCCTAACCCTAAACGCTAAACCCTAATGAAGATCCACATCTGCCTCCGCCAGACAGCTCAGCCCTCGCTCGTCGCAATGGCTGGAGCAAGAGGCGCCTGCCCAGGGTTTAGGGTTTAGGGTTAGGGTTTAGGGTTTAGGGTTTAGGGTTAGGGTTTAGGGTTTAGGGTAAGGGTAAGGGGTTAGGGTTTAGGGTTTAGGGTTTAGGGTTTAGGGTTTAGGGTTTAGGGTTTAGGGTTTAGGGTTTAGGGTTTAGGGTTTAGGCGTTAGGGTTTAGGGTTTAGGGTTTAGGGTTAGGGTTTAGGTTTAGGGTGGTTTAGGGTTAGGGTTTAGGGTTTAGGGTGTAGGGTTTAGGGTTTAGGGTTTGGGGATTGGGGTTTAGGTGTGTAGGGTTTTAGTGGTTTAGTGTTTAGTGTTTTGGGGTTTGGGGGTTTAGGGGTTAGGGGTTTAGAGCCAGAGAATCATGCAAGGTCGGCTGCGCATGCTTATCGAGCTCTGTCTCCATTTGCAACCTCAGAGAGTAACAGGTGTGTACCTCAACAATGCACGAGATAGGGTTTAGGGTTTAGGATTTAGGGTAAACCCTAAACCATCCCTCTCTCTCTCTCCCCTCTCTCTCTCTCTCTCTGTCCCTGTTTCTTTTTCTCTCTCTCTCTCTCTCTCTCTCTCTCTCGCTCTCTCTGTCTATATGGGTAGTTTCCAACATTAGGGCCCCTCTTTGGGTACCCATTATGAGGCGGCACCCTTTAAATAGGGTCCCACAAAAGGCAACCTAACTTAGAGAACTATCCATACATATATATATATATATAGGTAGTTCCCCTAAACCCTAAACCCAATAAACCTAAAGCTCATCTAGGTAGTTCTCCATTTTTGGGTCCTGGACCCCAAAAGTGAGCCTAATTGAGTTGAGAGAACCACCCATATTACCCTAAGGTAGCTAAGCCCGCAAAGCCCTACAAGCCCTAAACACGGACACCCTTCACCCACAAGCCAAGAAACAAGTACTAAGCTTTAGAACCCCCTTATCCCAAAACTCTTGAACCCTAGCCTTCGACCTCGAAGGTCATATTTTCATTGGGCGCAATGTCAAAATTCTATTGGGCACAAGGGCATTCTTTTA